CTGTGACTCACCGTCCCTCCGCCGTCCGTGACCTGTGACTCACCCCTCCCTCCGCTGTCTGTGACCCGTTACTCATCTCTCCCTCCGCCGTCCGTGACCCGTGACTCACCCCTCCGTGGGCCGTCCGTGACCTGCAGGTCTCCGGTGGTGTGCGGCGTGACGTACCTGGACTACGACCACACAGACATCCTGGGCTCGCGCATTGAGCAGATCACCGAGCAGAAGGCGGGCATCATCAAGCCGAGCGCGCCCGTGTTCGTGGCACGGCAGCGGCACGCAGCCACGCTGCCCGTGCTGGCCGACAGGGCGGCCCGCTGCCAGGTGAGGGCCGCCCGTCCAGCCCTGCTGCAAGGCGAGCTGGCCGGGAATGAGCCGACGAACGGAGGTCCAGGCTGGGTCATTACCGTTGTTGAATTAAGCTAGGTGTCATGCGTTGAGGCAGTGAGTGTTGTGTCTTTTCCATCGTTGGATTTGGTGGCGGCCCGGCCTCCGTGCTTGAGTTACTGGGCGTGATCACAGTCGTCAGCGCGGTTCAGAATACGCGTTGGATACTTCAACATTCAAGTTACGTTTCTTTACAACGTTGTACGGCATCAGCTGATGGGAAGGAAGTATGGCCATGACCAGCCAGGTTGGGGACTTGTAGGTCAGCTGCGGCTTTAACACCAGTCCCATTGCTGGGTCGTACGCATGAATTTGCAATGGGGGGGGGGGGGGGAAGGATTTCACACACACAACCCAATTTTCACTGAAAACCCAGGTTATCGTGCCGCAGGTGCGCGAGATTCCGTGCACGGGGTTAAACTCATGCACTCGGTTTTCGTAATTTTACGTGGCCACCGCGAAGTGTCGCAAGTGTTTTAAGTCTTTTAAGTGTTTTAAGCAAAGTGTTTTATTTGCGGTCAACCACATATTGTCACCATGTATTCACGCACATGTGTATAATCTAATAGACTTAACGGGGAGGGGGGGGGGCACGTTTCCCTGGAGGCCATTGCGTGTGTACGCTCCTGCCGACTGGAGTGATTTTAAGGCGTCCTTGGACGTCGCTCCCCGGCATTCAGAACCAGTCGTGTGTACGCTCCTGCCGAATGGAGTGATTTTAGGGCGTCCTTGGACGTCGCTCCCGGCATTCAGAACCAGTCCGTGTACGCTCCTGCCGAATGGAGTGATTTTAGGGCGTCCTTGGACGTCGCTCCCCGGCATTCAGAACCAGTCCGTGTGTACGCTCCTGCCGAATGAAGTGATTTTAGGCGTCCTTGGACATCGTCCCCGGCATTCAGAACCATCCGTGTGTACGTTCCTGCCGAATGGAGTGATTTTAGGGCGTCCTGGACGTCGCTCCCCGGCATTCAGAACCAGTCCGTGTGTACGCTCCTGCCGAATGAAGTGATTTTAGGCGTCCTTGGACTCGTCCCCGGCATTCAGAACCAGTCCGTGTGTACGTTCCTGCCGAATGGAGTGATTTTAGGGCGTCCTCGGACGTCGCTCCCCGGCATTTAGAACGAGTCCGATCTACAGTCACTTGGTTTCTTGGTTAGAGCGAACGAACCGCCACTGTCATTCCGACGCGAAATGCTCAGCGCACAGTATGCCCTAAAAGTGCAATGCACAGTTTTGGGCACATTCTGCGTTTCGCTGCTTCTTTTCGTGACATGTAATCTAGCTGTTCGAAAGTTGTAACGTTAGCTCATCTCAGCCTATGTATACGAGGGTCAAGAGAAGTCTGCAATAATTTAACATAAGAAGGGAGGAGGTCACTGGTATGATGGCTCATCATGCTCGCCATGGGCCTGCCAATGCTGATCTGCGATTTTCGTCGCGTGACGTTGCATGTTACGTTGATTTTGCGTTGTTACGATGATCTGCGAGTTTGCGGTGCGATTCTACGTTGCATATAATGGCCACAGTGAGGATATAGCTTCGTGGCAAAGTGTGGGCACTGCACGAGAACATGAGCGACGGACAGCGTATGATCACAGCGAGGACATTCCAGTGCTTGCCCCGTTGAGAGGGCTGCCAGGTGTCCCGTGTCCGGTATGTGTGCCGTACGTGTGACCTGTGCGGATGCGGCACAGTCTAACTCCTCCCTTCCACTGTCGCGATTAGAGGACTGCCACTCGTCTCAGTTTGGTTTGATAGCCTGAGTTGGCTTTGCGAATTGCCATGGTCGTCAGTGCTCTTCCGATTCCATGCCTTTTGCCAGTCCAACTTTACACGAGCTGACATAATCTACCCGGTTTAGGCAAGCTGAAAGCACCTGCCTTTGTTCAGAGAACGGCGCTCGGGAAGAGCGAGAGTGACTGATCCCTCCTTTGTCGCAGGGTCCACTCTCTCGTTCCCAGCAATGCTGGCGTGTCCTGGCACCCAACCGAAAATAACACGCTTCCCGATCTGTTCGAGGGATGCAGCAACTCGCATAACCTGGTCAACTAGGACATGCTCTGCTTTCAAGTAATGTACGGCTAGAGTACTGCTTAAGGGGTCCCACAGAATAGGAGACCGGTCCACTCGTTCCTTCCCCGCAGAGTTTAATGCCTCCTTGGTTGCAAACAGTTTAGCGATAAAGTGAACAAAAAGAGGAAAATGTAAAACACTTCGTCCAGTTGTGACGCACAGCAGCACTTCCTGTGCCTGCCTCAGACTTCGAGCCATCCGTGTATATGTGAAAGTACGTATCGTAGTCCGTGCACATGCGCTGGAGAAATTCAGAACGAAACTCCTCGGCACTCGTCAATCCGTTGATCGGGGCATCAAGCGAAAAGTCGCAGATCAGCATTGCAACGTAAATCAGCGTAAAATGCAACGTAATTGCACGAAAAATCGCAGATCAGTGTTGGCAGGCCCATGGCGAGCATGTTGAGCCACCATACGAGTGACGTCCGCCCTTCTGATGTTAAATCATCTACCCTGGCGTTCGCTCAGAGGCGAGGGCCCCACAGTTGGCATCAGAGCGTTTCTTACGTTTCTCAACGACGTCGACCTCACGGTCATTTGCTCACCTTCACAGCATCTTCTGACACCTCACGACTCGGATGACTCACGACGAGCGCCCTAGCGTACTGGCTTTGCGCGCTGCGTGTTGTGACCATTAATTTCTCTCAAATTGTTTTTTTTGCACGTTTCTGAAACCTACAAAAACTACCTTAATTGATTTAGCGCAACAAAGTTCTGCACAGCCATAGTTTGGACGCACAATGACCGCGGCCGTCGACGCATCCTTAAGCCTAAATGATGTTTACTGGACATCACCCTCCTGCCGGCTGGTTTCGGAGGGTCCAATGACGTCTGGCGGGCGACGAGCGTCCCCGACCTCAGTCCGCCGTTCCGCCGGTTTCAGAGCCCCCTGTACGTGGTGCCTGACCTGGACGAGTGCCGCGGTCCGGACGGCGACCGGCCCTGCCTCGGCCTGGCCGGCCAGTACCAGCGCCAGAACGCCGCTCTGGCGCTTCAGCTGGCGCGCTACTGGCGCAGCGCCAGGGGTAAGCCAACGGCGCAGACCGGCGCCGACAGGGTTGCACGGGGCCCGAGGCTGGCACTGTAGCGGAGCAGTGGAGGCTTAGTGGGCTGTCGCTCAGTACTCGCTGGCGGCGGGGCAGTGGAGGCGTACTGGGCTGTCGCTCGGTGCTCGCTGGTGACGAGCACCGTCGTGACGGGCTCAGAGGTTAGCGGCGCCACCGGTGCTGACGCGCTGTGGCGTGAAGGTTCCACGGGCAGCGTGCGCGGACCCGCCACGACTGACGAGCGGGCCCGGCCGCACGGGCCCAGCTGGCGGCTCCGGCGCCGGCTCCGCGTCAGCGCGGCCGCTTCGGAGTGCGGCGCGCGACTGGCGGGCGGTCGAGTCTGTGACAGCGACCGTGCCCCATCCGCCGGTGGTGACGCGGGCCGCCGTGTGACCGGCAGGGGACGGCGCGTTTGACCCGGCGTCGGCCCCGAACAGCGAATCGGCGCCGCTGGCCCGCGCCCAGCCCTGCCAGCTGACGCCCGTGGAGGCGCGCGCTCTGGCCGACTGCCGGTGGCCCGGCAGATGCCAGGTGAGTCGCCGAGAACGCGACGAAAGACTCCTTGCTTCCCCGCCGCTTATTGGCGGGAAGGCTCGACGGTTCAGAGTCTGAAATTCAGACCGTGGTGAATGGCACGGTACGTGGATATTATATCTTGTGGCACGTGCTGGTGGCAGCCTGGGAAATGGCACACTGTCGGACGGAGACGCGCCGTCGCCGTGTCGTTCCCGGCCGTCGCTGTGGCGTGTGCGCTGATGCGAGTCGGCCGTGCTCCGACAGAAGGTGCCCCGCGGCTCGGTGGCGTATTACCTGGACGGCGCGCACACGGCCGACTCCGTGCAGCTGGCCCTGCGCTGGTTCCAGTCGGAGGCGGCCAGAGACGCGGACAGCAGCGGGTGAGAGCCAGCAGCGGCGCAACTGTCCCAGACAACTGTTCCCGTCGTGGGAGCACCCTGTTCCGGGACAGCTGTCCCCGTCGTGGGAGCATCCTGTCCTGGACAGCTGTCCCCGTCGTGGGAGCACTCTGCTCCGGGACAACTGTCCCCGTCGTGGTAGCACCCTGTTCCGGGACAGCTGTCCCCGTCGTGGGAGCACCCTGTTCCCGGACACTGCTCCCGTCGTGGGAGCACCCTGTTCCGGGACAGCTGTCCCCGTCGTGGGAGCGCCCTGTTCCGGGACAGCTGTCCCGTCGTGGGAGCACCCTGTTCCGGGACAGCTGTCCCCGTCGTGGGAGGCACCCTGTTCCGGGACAGCTGTCCCCGTCAGTGGAGCACCCTGTCGCAGACAACTGTCCCCGTCGTGGGAGCACCCTGTTCCGGGACAACTGTCCCCACCACGGGAGCGCCCTGCTCCGGGACAAGCTTGCCCCCGCGCGATTGCTGAGACTTGGACTGCGAACAGAACCATAAACTCGGCTAAGTACATGTCGGTACATTTGGGACTATCGGAACTGCAGCCAGTTGCTGCACGTTCCTGGTTTTATATTGGTGAGATATCTGGTGAAGGATAACAAGATACAGTGGGCACTTGGGTGCAACTTTCATTGCCTGACGAGCTCACATTCTTGCTGACCGATTTAACAGGAGATGCCAAACGAGCGCAATACAACAGAAAAAAAAAAAAACAGCGGGAAAAAACAAAAGCTGGGGAAGATTAATTGATAAACCCGTTCGCCTACGTCTCGTCATGACCAGACTAAGAAGGACGCGAGGTCGGACATGGCGCCACTGTACCCACTCTAACGGCCCGAGCCCTGGTCCTCACAGGGTCTGTTCTCGGACCGTGCTGCTGCTCTTCTCCACTGTACCCCACTCTGACGGCCCGAGCCCTGGTCCTCACAGGGTCTGTCCTCGGACCGTGCTGCTGCTCTTCTCCACTGTACCCCAGTCTAACGGCCCGAGCCCGGTCCTCACAGGGTCTGTCCTCGGACCGTGCTGCTGCTCTTCGCCATTGTACCCCACCTTAACGGCCGACGCCTGGTCCTCACAGGGTCTGTCCTCGGACCGTGCTGCTGTTCTACTCGACGGGAAGCCGGGATCCGGCGTCGCTTTTGCGCACGCTGGCGGCCGTCGCTTGGGACGCGGTTGTGTTCTGCCCCAGCGCCGTGTATCACGTGCAGGATGCTTCCTCCGGTGAGAGGGCACGGCTGCGAGGGGTGGGGAGTCGACCGAAAATGCAAAGGCGCTTTTTCGTGCACGCGACATCGTTTCCGCACGAGGCGTGCGCTAATTGCCGGGATTTTGATAGCAGCGCGTAATAGCCAGTCACTGCTTCATGTCTCGATGTTTCAATGACACATAATGACTAAAGTTGTGGAACCAGGCAATGCGCTTTTGCAAAAGGATCTCGTGTTTTTTTTTTAATTGACAAACAAGTGCCCCTGCGGTCAACTTGGCCGAGTATCTCTATGTATTTTGTGTCAATGACGGGCCTGCGGGTGTTCGACAGACCAGGCCAACCGCATGGTGACGCCCGACTCGCAGCTGTGCCGCGTCGACGCTCACTGCGCCGCCTGGCGAGAGATGGCAGCACCGGGCGCGGCCGGCCGCCCGCTTCGCCTGACCTGCATCAGCGAGGGCGGTTAACTTCATCGAGGAGGAGCGCTGGCGTGCCCACCCAGGTCAGAGCACGGCCGGCCGGTCGCTGGTCTGCCGCCGGTCCGCCCGCTGGTCCGCCGCCGGTCCGCCGCCGGTCCGCCGCCGGTCCGCCGCCGGTTCCGCCGTCGTCGGCCGGCCGGGAGGGCACCGGTGTTGGCTCTGAACACGTGCGGTGGTCGGCTGGACGCGAATGCTCACCTGTTGGCAAAGCATGAGTGGGGTTTCATGGTTTATGGTGCATTTCGCGCAGGCCACGCTGGCCGCTCGACTGTGCGTATCTGTGTTGTCGTTGTTTGTTCGGTGCTGGTCTGTCCACTGACCGCTACCGCCGCCGCCAGGTGTTCACTGCTGACCTGTATTGGCCGTCGCCGCCGCCGCCAGGTATTCTCTGCTGACTTTGTACTGAGCGTCAACCGCCGGCAGGTTTTCACTGTGGCTCGCTGCACCTGGTCGGCGGTCTGCTGTTCCATCATTGACCCACACCTGTCGTCGATGCTGCCGGCGCCGCGGCCCCGCTCCGGCGCCGGCCGACCCGAGGTCAGGCGGCACCTCAGCGCCCCCTGTCCGTAACTCTGGGGAGCGTGTCGGCACGGCTCCGTCGGTAGCTGACGTCGAGCCAACGAGCCACCAGGAGCCTTCAAAGCAAAAGTAGACGGATCCGCGCAAATGGTTTTAGGGCTAGAAAGAACGGCGCATCAACAATGCGTGACGTAGAGGGCGACAAAGGATGGACTGTGCGGGATAGTAAGTGTACGGTGTCTCAGAAACGCATCTGCGGGACCAGAAACCATTGGGTAGCCATTCCCTGGTAGCGTCTCTGGCGTGTGTGCTGCTACCTGTTCAGCGCCTGGTGTCGAGTGTTGTCGAAAGGGCCGAATGCCGCGCTGTTATACGCGCCCCGCCCCGCTGGCCCAGTGCCTTTCGTAGTCGTGAATAAGACAGGGATGTGGTGGAACCGAGGGATGCGCACGAGGCATTGACGTCTCGCATCAGATGTGTGGAGGTGCGCTGGCTGTGTTTCTCTGCAGTGTCCGTCGTGTGCAATGGTGTGCTGTGAGAGCGGGCAGCGCTGGAACGGGCTCGGCGGGAAGAAACACCGGCCGCCTGTGGGGGACAGCCGGCGTTCGGGTCATGTCGGCCGGACCTGGACGACTTTCGGCGTGCCATGAGTAGACAGAGCGAGGGACAGATAGGGGCGGTATACTCGGGATGTTTATTTATGGAGACAGAGGGCTGGTGACCTTTGGTTACAAGATGTATGGTCCGGAGATATGGCAGATTGGGTTCGTGTATGGGGTCGAAGGCAGCCTGCCTGGTAGCTCGGGACTAGTGGGACATCATTATCAGAAGCGGTGTTGGATTTAGTCAGTGTCAGCGTGCATTTCATCTCCCAGTACAACATGTGCCTTTTATCACGGGGCCAAAGCCCGCCCTATCGCCTTTTCACCTTGAAGGGTTACCGGCGTTACACGCAGGCAGAAAGCGTTCTGATTCAGGTAATCTGGATAATTATCTGCGGGCTGCTGGTCGGTGTGTCATCCCTGGATAATGTGCAGTTCCTTGCGGATGTTTATGAGCCCGACGGAGCCATTCGATCAGAAGATGAGGGACCGCTGCAGCGGGCTAGATGCGTTTGTACCCGATTCGAGGCTCCCAGCGAAGATGGGATAGCCCAGCTCACTTGGTAATGGCAGCTTACCGAGAATTAGGTCGTCTTCAGTATTCGTTGCTCAATCCTGTTTGCAAGCGTACCCACTGTGTTCTGGCTTGCATGCTCCTGCGCTGAACCGCAGGAATCCGATCTGCCGTCCATGGTTTGGTTGCCTATTCTTCCCACCACGCTTCCCGATCTATCCCCTATCCCCAGTTGTTGTCCAGTGATTGACCCTTGTTGCATGTCTCGCTAACTTAGGTCACCATGGGACATGTCATGCCACTGCCCCCTGTTAATATCGTGGCCGGGCATTGTTCTGTGAGTATCAAAGGTCGCAGCCTCCTCCTGACGCCCCCTCCCCCTGAGCCCGTGGACCCGACCCAGTCTGCGCAGGTCGCAGCCAGCTCCTGACGCCTCCTCTCCCCTGGACCCGTGGTCTAAGCCCCGGTTGCGCAGGTCGCAGTCTATCGATGTCCTAGTCCCCCTTCCCGACTTTTGCCTTAGTGCTGACACGCGAAGTGCCAGCCTTGGTCAGGAATATTGTTTTTTTGTCGTGTCATTGGGACAGGAACTTAGCAGCTCCCCGAGCATGACAACGGCGGAACGCCTGGTGAATCTCACTGTACAAGCTTACGCCTTGGTATATTCTGTATTGGTTTTGGTTGGCCTGCGGTGTCTGACTGCTGTGAAGGGACGTGATGCTGTCGGCCGATACGCTGACACGTCTTCCCATCAGCCTCGTGCGATAGTGACGGGCAATATATGGTTTCCTAGAACTCTGTGTTTGAGGTTTTAGGGCGGTGAGGAGTTTTATCTACTTCAATTCTGGTTCCTCAATGGAAAAGTGAGTTTGATTAGCCATCCTAGCTATCGTTCGTACATGAATTCCACAAAACAGCGCCTCAACCGATGTTGTTTCGACTTCAGTGCCTCTCCGTTTAACTCTAGAGCTACGGTGTGGTAAATATATAATGTTTAAAGCACGGCATGTGCAATTATGGGACACGTGGTCGGGGTTTTGGCATGTGTTGGGACGCTAAGCGATATGGGACATTTTCATTAGTTGTTATGCATTCTTTAAGTAACTATAAGTATTCTAATAAGTGCAACACCCTGCTCTCAATAACACAATTTCACTAAAAGTCAGGCATGCACCTCAATGCGTGCAGTGTCCGGCTGTGGTGTGTGGCAGCCCGGCCCAGTTCGCTGCCGCCGCGGCGGCCGGCCGGTGGCGGGGATTGGGTGGTGTCAGAGCACCACCGTACAGTGGCGGAGTCAGGGTGGTGTCAGAGCACCACCGTACAGTGGCGGGGGTCAGGGTGGTGTCAGAGCACCGCCGTACAGTGAAGGGGGTCAGGATGGGCATCACAGCACCACGGTACAGTGGCGGGGTCAGTGTGGCATCACAGCACCACCGTGCAGTGGCGGGGTCAGGGTGACATCAGTGTGACCCGGCCGGTCACGCGCCGCTGTCCGGGCGTCGCCCGCAGCCCGTATTCGTCGAATGGAGATTCGCGACGCTGCGGTGAGCGGGGAGGTGCTGACGGACTGTCGGGCACGGGGCATGGCGGCGGCGGCGGAGCGCGGCGGACGGTGTCCGTTGTGGTGGGGTGCACAAGGCCCGTTACTAGCCGGGCTGTCCAGCATCG